TACATGAAATTCAAGTTACTGAAATTTACGCAAAATTACATGAAATGTAAAATTGTAATTTTTGTAATACAACCCTAAGCTCTGGACATACAATGCTTCGCATTTCACTAACTTAGTCAAATCGGCCGAAAAATCATTCGGCTAATTTTTATCAGGTGTTCCAGGAATTATGATAGTAGCAGTAATAAAAAAAAAAAAATAAGGCCCGAGTCGTAGCAAATTAGTTAAACTACAAAATGGCGGCTTATTTTTTATGGTAACGTTTTTTTATTACAGCTATTATCATTATTTCTGGGACACCTGAAGAATTTTCAGATGACCGAAATATCCTCTGTTTCATTCGGCAAATTACCTAGCTCTCTGGAAATTACATCGCTGTCTCCGGACTTTCAGTCCGAAGACAGCGATGTAATTTCCAGAGAGCTAGATAATTTGCCGAATGAAACAGAGGATATTTCGGTCATCTGAAAATTCTTCAGGTGTCCCAGAAATAATGATAATAGCTGTAAATATTATTAGTTTTTAAAATTTGTAACATGTATAATTTTTTTTGAACATCATTAATCTACTAGACTTAGTCGATTGGGGCCGACTAGGTATCCGGATGAGGTTAGGAATATTCACTTGGATGGTTTAATTAATAAGTTGACTGCGCAATAGCTTAATTGAGTTTATATTTCATTAAAGTACTAGCATAACCTTCAAAAAGAAAAAAAGTAACAATTTTTTTTATTTTTTTATATAGGAAAGGAAGAAAATAGAAAACTGCTAAAAATTTGGTTCGTGTCCCTGCTCGTAACCAATAAAAATTGTGGATCTACCGCGCATTATTAGTTTCAATGACTGTACTAATAAATAAAAAACGCGTATGATATCATCAGAAAATGACTCGATTATATGGTAGCATCGTTATTTAGTAAATAAAAAGACTGTGCCGCATTTAATAAACGACGATAAAAATGGACAACGTCACGCAAAGGTTTGTTTCGTACATTATAAATACTTTTGGGAATTTTTTACTAATTCATTCCACGAACAAATTAGTAGTAGAAATGAAGCAAATTCGACTTATAGTACTCCAATACGAGTACGACAACTAGGAATTTCGGAAACAACCCCAAAGCGGAGAGGAATACTCAAATCAGTTTCAAACGTAACAAATAATAAACCTCCGTCAACTGTATCTTCGGTTACCTTCAATGAGCCAAAGCTAAAATTCAATAAATATTATTGCCTATGAATTAATTTTATTAAAAATATGTAAAAAATCTGTATTAAATAAATAATTTATATAATAATAATAA